CTTTGAAGCAAATCAAACTCAAGCCTTCACAATAAAGTGGTGAAGCAAATGAAGATTATTTGAGTTCCATACTCCCTAGAGAGAGAGGGAGCGAACCCGTTTGAAGATGTTCGAGTTCTATACTCCCTAGAGAAAGAAGGAGCGAACCCGTGTGAAGATATGCGAGTTCTATACTCCTTAAAGAAAGAAGGAGCGAACCCGTTTGAAGATGTTCGAGTTCCATACTCCTTAAAGAAAGAAGGAGCGAACCCGTTTGAAGAGATGTCTGAGTTCCATACTCCCTAGAGAAAGAAGGAGCGAACCCGTGTGAAGATATGCGAGTTCTATACTCCTTAAAGAAAGAAGGAGCGAACCCGTTTGAAGATGTTCGAGTTCCATACTCCTTAAAGAAAGAATGAGCGAACCCGTTTGAAGAGATGTCTGAGTTCCATACTCCCTAGAGAAAGAGGGAGCGAACCCGTGTGAAGATATTCGAGTTCTATACTCCCTAAAGAAAGAGGGAGCGAACCCGTTTGAAGATGCTCGAGTTCTATACTCCCTAGAGAAAGGGGGAGCGAACCCGTTTGAAGAATATGTTCGAGTTCCATACTCCCTGAAGAAAGAGGGAGCGAACCCGTTTTCAGAAGATTGTTCGAGTTCTATACTTCCTGGAGAAAGAGCGAAGCGAACCCGTAAGAAGAAGATCTTCGAGTTCTATACTCCCTGAAGAAAGAGGGAGCGAGCCCGTTTTCAGAAGATCATTCGAGTTCTATACTTCCTGAAAGAAAGAGGGAGCAAACCCGTTTCCAAAAGATTATTCGAGTTCTATACTCCTTAAAGAAAAAGGGAATTCGCTTACAGAAGATTATTCAAGTTCTATACTCCCTAGAGAAAGAGGGAGCAAACCTGTAAGAAGAAGATGTTCGAGTTCCATAATCCCTAGAGAAATAGGGAGTAGACCCGATTGTTGAAGTTTGTTCGAGTCTTATACTCTCTGAAAGAATAGGGAGCAGACACGATTGTTGAAGATTATTTGAGTCTCATACTCTCTGAAAGAATAGGGAGTAGACACGATTGTTGAAGATTGTTCGAGTCTCATACTCTCTGAAGGAATAGGGAGCATACACGTTTTCAAAAGATTTTCGAGTTCTATACTCCCTGGAGAAAGAGGGAACGAACCCGATTGTTGAAGATTGTGGGTCTTATACTCTCTGAAGAAATAGGGGGCAGACGCAATCGTTGAAGATTGTTCGAGTCTTATACTCTCTGAAGAAATAGGGGACAGATGCGATTGATGAAGATTGTGGGTCTTATACTCTCCGAAGAAAAAAGGGGGCAGACGCAATCATTGAAGATTGTTCGGATCTTATACTCTCTGAAGAAATAGGGGGCAGATGCGATTGATGAAGATTATGGGTCTTATACTCTCTGAAGAAATAGGGGGCAGACGCAATCGTTGAAGATTGTTCGAGTCTTATACTCTCTGAAGAAATAGGGGGCATACAAGTTTGTTGAAGATGATTCAAGTCTTATACCCTCTGAAGAAATAGGGAGCGAACCCATTTTTCTGAAGATTTATTGAATTCTATACTCCCTGAAAAGAATAAGGAGCAAGTACGCTGATTGAAGATTAATCGAGTCCTATACTCTCTGAAAGAATAGGGAGTAGACGTTTTTTTCCAAAGATTTTCAAGTCTCACTTACCCCGAAGGAGGAGTGAAGGAGATCTCTTATCAAATTTTGAAACAAGAAGATGGAATTGGACAAAAACGCCCAAGTACAATATGAGTCGTCCGAGCCATTTTAAGCTTTAAGAAGAAAGTGGAGCAAACCATCAGATCATCAGATGTAGACGGAAACTAAAGATTCTCGGGTACGAAGAAGCGGAACAATCAATTAAAAGGGTTTGTGCTCATGAGATGAAGACAAAAGTCAAGAAGAAGACTGGAGAAGGGAAATGACGTTGCAATCAGACAAAATTAGGTCATTATTTTTGTCTTTGCCACGTTCTTGTGTTCACACCAACGAGCAAAGAGGGGCAGCTGTAATACCCTAATTTTGTCCGGGCCATTTAAATTCATTTGAAGACGATCGAGAATTAAGTTGAATATGTTTGTGCTCGATGATGAATTATTTCAAAAGATAAATCACGAAAGTTTACGTTTGAAAGCTTGAGGTGTTTAATTGGACTAAGTCGTAGGTTCATTTTGGAAATTAAGGCACAATTTGAAATTTAATCCCAAATACAAATTTAAGTGTCTAAAGACCATTTACGTCTTTGAAGTCCAATTACAAGCCAAAACAAGCCAAATTAAATGAAAGTTCGAGATTCAAGTCCAACAGCAGTCTCAAAATGAAAACCCATTACACCATACTCGACCCATTTGGCACCATTTCCAGCTCTAACACGGTGCTATTGCTGCCCACGTGAAGACATTGGGAACCACAAAACCAAGCTGCCCACATGAAATACCCAATAGCTTGGTTCCCATGGAAGACCATACATATCAGCCAATATGCCCGAGCACCCCAACGAGAAGTCCTCGAGGCTATCAACAGCCCATACTGCTGAAGCTCCACTGCCCATGCCAACACCAAACCTGAGCAGAACAGCTCGGTTCCCCACTTCTGTCACCCACGCTCAGCCGACAGCACGATCACCAAGCCAACCGAGAAGCACCCATGCTGCTCCACTCACCCCGAGCAACGCCAAGGCTCGGCTCCCCATCACTACTGCCCATGAAACAGTTGGGGCACAAGGGACAACATCGAACAGACCCATGCTCTGGCACCTGGGAAACCAAAATTCACAGAATCAATCACAGAGGGGGAGTAAAAAACCAGAAACCACGATACAAAAAGGAGGGAAGCACTAGCGCCGTTCAAAAAAGACCCACTCGTGTTTGTCGGCCATTCACGGAAGCACTACCGCCGTTTACTTTGCTCGAGCGATTCATTTTTGTTTTAAAAGGAGAATCAGAGTGGGATAACCAGCGGCCATTATCAACGAGAGACCCCTAGAATCTATGGGCCATCACCAAAAGAAAAAGGGAACAACATCAGTTATCAGCCATCACCAAACACAACCAAAAAAAAGGTCAAAAAAAAACTTAGCCATTACCAGTAACCCCAAAAACATTCGAGCAACAATACCCTCATCAAACAGAAAGCAAAGCAAGGAAAGAAGCAAACAAAACTTTTACCTTCTTTGTCGTTTGGGGCCCGAATCATAGCCGGTCGTCCAAGGTAACCGTCCTGAACCTTAGGTCCGTGCTTGGTTGAGGGTTTTGTGAGGTCTCGGTGAGGATCGGGTTTAGGGTTTAAGAGGTTAGAAGAGTGAGAAAAGGGTTTACCTGAGCGTTTCTCGTCAGGATAGTTTAGTGGTGGCAGCCACGGCGGCTGCCACGGTTGGGTTTGCTGAGGGTTTCGACCAAGGAAAGCAGAGAGAAGCGAGAGACCATGGTGGTTGTGGAGGCTAGGGTTTCGTTTGGTTTCGTTTGAGAGGAAATCTAAGAGATTTGTTTAAGGCGGCGGTGGCCGTGGTGGCCAGGGAAGTCGTCTGGTCAAGCTGGGGTTGAGAGGCGAGAGAGATAGAGAGAACGGCTGGGGGGGGTTTTCATCTGTTTAGGTTGAGAAGAAATGAGACTAGGGTTAGGGGTATACCCTGATGTCTCGTACGCCAAAACGGCGTCGTCCCGTTTAGTTCCAAAACGGCGTCGTATTGACCTCCGGGGAAGTATTCTGTGTTTTGCTTTGGGGGTAACTGTGTGCAAGCCATTTCAGTTTCAACCTGTTACATTTTTGTCCCTAAACCGAGCTTTATGGGAATTTTAATCTTACCTCCTGGTTTCCGGATTATTTTATTTTGGTCCCGTATCATGTTATGGCCATTTTCTTTCCGTTTTTGCATTGGATATGTAATTTGAGGAGCTTTCAATTTGATCCTATGCAATATTTTGGTTATATTCTGTTTGCAGTACCCAGAAATGAAAATGTTATGAAAAGGTTGTTGTTATTTATTCTTTATGTTTTAGTCCTTTTAATATTTTATGCATGATTGTTAGGTTAATTTAGATTTATTTTAAAATATATGCATGTATATATTATTTTAAGCATGTTGTTCATACGCACGTAGGTGTAGTTTATTTTTATGAGCATGTTTGAATTCGTTCACTTTAATCGCATATTTAATTATTTTTTGCATTAACATCACTTTGTATAATTTTTGCATGATATCCTCATATGCATAACTTGACATTATTGCATAATCGGAATTAAGGGTAATGCCCTTTTAATCTAAAATTATCAGAATGGCTTTCCTTAACTTACAGGAAAGTTGTTTTGACGATTTTAAATTAAAATGGTATCCCGTCAGTAACGCCTAATTAAATTTGGATATGTCATTGTAAAATTTGGGAGCGAAAGAAAAGGAAATATTCGACTATTTAAACTTTTCGAGAAAAGGTCGTTAGAACTGAACTAAAGATCCGGTCTCGATATTTTTAAATAATCGAATATTCTTTATCTTTCTAATGACTTGGTAATTTTAAATTAAATCTATTTTGTTGCTTTGAATGTTGCAAATTTGCATGTTTGTTGTTTAAAGGGATCATTAATCAAATTAAATTTGAACTTGCGAAATTCGTTGCAAAGAAATTAATTAATCAACTAGGTACCGATTTAGGGCGTTGTGGGGGTGCTAATCCTTCCCCACGCGTAACCGACTCCCGAACTTGGATTTTGGTAACGTAGACCGTAAATTTGTCGTTTTAATTAAAATTAATTTTTATTTAAAATGACAACATCTTTGGGTGCCCAATCACACCCTAATCAAAGATTGGTGGCGACTCCTCGAACCATATATTTTGACCGTAAAGGAATTTCCAATTTCTCGAAACGAGAGGTTTTCTAAAATTGCATTGTTTTTAATTAAAATTCGATTGCAAAGATAAATAATTAAAAATGACGCGGTTTTCCAAAATCACCCTCGCCACCGTATAAAAATCGTTTCGACAATATATATAGTATATTTTGGTGAACATGACGGAACAAAAACACTTCACGAAATTGAAGAATTTCATCTTTCATATCTGCTTTCTGTGAAAGAGTCTGAGAATGATGCTAAAAGTTCACTTCTCTATAGCTACAAAAACAACATCAATGGTTTTGCGGCTAAGCTTACTCGGAATGAAGCCTCAAAGCTCTCTAGTAATTATTTTACTCTTAATATTTGTTGAATAAGTCTCAAGTAGTTGGATCGAAATGTAAATCTTAGTTTAGAATTTATGATTGAAGTACTAATAATGATTCTTTATTTTTTTAATAGAAATGGAGGAGATAATATCAGTTATTCCTTCACATGGAAAATACCAAACTCAGACTACAAGATCATGGGATTTCGTGGGATTAAATGACTATTCATGGAGTGGAACTCAAATGGGAGGAAATTTAAGGTTAAATGCTCAATATGGTCAAAATCAAATTATTGGTTTTATTGATAGTGGTAATCCGTCTAACTCTAAACTTTGATTTATACAATTTCCTTATTATTTATATCTGATTTATTATTTGACATTGTTATATGTTTAATGTTTTGGGTCATTTTTGATTTAGGTGTGTGGCCAGAATCACCAAGCTTCATTGATGAAGGAATGGATCCTGTCCCATCAAGATGGAAAGGTATCTGCACAGAAGTAGATGCTTTCAACGCAATCCACTGCAATAAGTGAGTGAAGTTTGTGATAATGGTATCATTGTACAATTGATAAAATATTTGTGTCGTCGCAGAAATCATTGTACAATTAATAAAATATTTGTGTTGTCGCAGAAAAATAATCGGAGCTCGATACTTCACCAATGGTTTTACCAGCTTGTATGGCAAAGTTAACTCGACGGAAGACTATATTTCGGCGCGAGATGCCGACGGCCACGGATCCCACACGGCCTCCATTGCAGCGGGTCGACGAGTCAAGTATGCCGCTGGCATCGGAGGGGTTGCAAGGGGTACAGCCTCAGGAGGTGCTCCTTTGGCCCGCATTGCCGTTCACAAGGCATGTTGGGCAATCCCTGGTAAGCCAAAGTCCGACGGCAACGTATGTGTGCCCGAGGATATCCTTGCGGCCTTTGACGCGGCCATAGGTGATGGTGTCGACGTACTTAGTGTCTCCATCGGCCTCCCCCAACAAAAATCTTTCGACCAAGATGTCATGGCTATCGGATCGTTGCATGCTTTAAGTCGCAACATCATCACTGTATGCGCTGCCGGGAACAGTGGTCCTAACCCATCAACGTTGTCAAATGTAGCTCCGTGGATCATAACTGTTGGTGCTAGCTCCATCGACCGACGATTTTACTCGCCCGTCTATCTCGGAAATGGCGTAGAAATCCCCGTAAGATCCGATCTGATCATACAATATAATTATCATAAATCATAAATTCATGAACCTTTTTTTTTGTTTGTAGGGATATAGCATGTCACAGAACACAAGGAATGTCATGTATCCATTAGTTTACGCAAGCGATGCAGCTCTCCCTGGTGTGTCTACCGACTCTGCAGGGTAAGTATATTTTCATCTCCTCTCGCTTTTGGTTTTGTAATATTGAATAAGATCCACTATTGTTTTACTCTAGGTACTGTCTAGCTGGTTCACTTGACCCTTTCAAGGTGAATGGGAAGATTGTGGTGTGTTTCACCGGAAGTGGACTAAATATAGATAAAGGCATTGAAGTGAGCAAAGCCGGCGGCGTCGGTATGATATTAGCTAACTCCAAATCCGATGGAGATAAACTATCTTTCGACATTCATTTCGTTCCCACAACTGAAGTTATATACGACAGTGGCGTTCAAATTCTCCAATACATCTATTCCACAATGTATCCTACTGCAACTATCGTGCCGGTTCAATCACGAACTTACAAAGCGCCTTTAGTGGCACCGTTCTCTAGTCGTGGTCCAAACCTTATTGATCCCTATATTCTCAAAGTAATTTGTGAATCATAGAATATATTTATATATAATCAACTTTGTATATTGTTTGACTTGATTTCTGGTATTTTTTTTTGGTGACAGCCTGATATTATCGCTCCGGGATTTCAGATTCTAGCAGCATGGAGTCTGGCATCATCTCCTACAAAGCTTCCATATGATCAAAGACATGTGAAATATAATATATTTTCAGGAACTTCCATGGCTTGTCCTCATGTTTCCGGTGTGGTTACACTTCTCAGAGCAGTACATCCCGACTGGAGCATTTCAGCTATAAAATCTGCTCTCATGACTACCGGTAATTAAAGATATTTTAGAAATTAATTTTTAAATCAAATTGTGATTGTCTTATTATTAAATTGAAATTTTATCATTTTTTATGCAGCTACATTGACGGACAATTCTAATAACACCATTGAAGATTTTAGAACCTATATTGCTGCAAATCCCTTTGATTTTGGGGCCGGTAATTTTCGACCTGTACTAGCAGCGGATCCTGGTCTTGTCTACGATGCCTCGTATGAAGATTATCTTCTATATCTATGTGCTGTTAGCCCCGGACTTCTAAGCAAAGAAACTTTGAGAAGTTTTTGTCCGAGTCAAGCTTATTCACTTGACCTCAATTATCCGTCAGTTGTGGTTGCCAACCTTTACGATCCTGTGACAGTATCGAGAACAGTTACCAACGCATGCAACTGTCAGAGTAAATACACTGCTAGCTGGTATCTACCTGCAGGGATTGGAATTATAGTTAATCCAGATGTGTTGTATTTTGACTATATCGGCCAAAAGCAAAAGTTCACAGTAACATTTTTTCGAACTGATAATTCAGTGACCAACCAGTATGTGTATGGCTGGTTCATGTGGAATGATGGACTTCATTATGTGAGAAGTGTTTTTGCTGTTTTTGTGTCCTAGTGAACAGCCAATATTTCTAAGTTTTATTAGATTCGTTTTAGGTTTTGAGGAGTCTTTTTGATTTTTAATAAATATATTTATTTATGGTTTCATATTAATATATATTTTATTTTATTCTGTATAAATATATATATATATATATATATGGATCTTTTACCATCTCTACAGAGGAAATGAAACAAAATATATCGATGTATCAATATATATTGTATTAATATAATCATTACGACTAACTAAAAATAATTTAATGAAAAAATAAATAAGAATTATCATTATTAGAAGCAATGTTTATTGAAGTTATTACCATTATTTGGAAAATGAATAACTGAGATTTAAAGTGAAAACTGATTATTTTAATCAATAAAATTGTTTAAATATCATTTAAATTTAATTCCTATAATATTATCTCATTAATGTTATTTTTAATAATATGTAGTGATTACAAAATCATAACTTTTTAGCTATCTATACCTTATAAAATAAGGTGCGCATATGTGATGAACAATTATTAATCTTGAATGATTATAAATAATTATTAGAAAGGTTTGATTTAGATGTATAACTAGTGACCATCTATTTTTTTTCCATTTATTAGAAGGGTGACACCATTTTTCCTTCAAACCTATATCATTTAAGTTTTAAATTCTAATGTGGATAAATTGATTTTAATAATTAAAAAATTATTGTTATTTATCAAGTACGATGATTACAAAAATATATGAGTTATCATTCTCTAATGATTGAATATTTTTCAAATAAATATTATCTTTATTCATCATAAATCAATAAAGAAAATTTAAACTCTAAATTTTTTTTACTATTAAGTCTACTATAATATTAAATAAATTCACTTGGATTTTTTTGTTGCCCTCCAATTCTAAGGTCTTGCTCTGACTAAACTGGATCGACCCGTGTTGCACATCTGATTTTGGTAGGTGAGTCTCTCAGCGGAGATTTTCTTCATAAAAAGGAATTTGAACATGAGACATTGCTAAACGATATCAAACTACTTACTACCTGAACCAACATCTGTCGGTAAGTTCACTTGGATCTTTTAATCAAATATATTATGCGATTAATAAATGTTAATCCTAATTAGTAAAGCAAATAAGCAATAAATTAGGTGTAAAAAGTTACACAATGTAAAGCCGTGAGCCGCAAGAAAAAGATTATAGCTGCGTTGTTTTAGCCTTTTTGGCGGCCGACTCAATACTTAAACAATCAGAAACAAACACACACAAGCCACCACCCAGATTCAAAATCATTTAATCAACCAAATAAACAAATATTTATAACATTAAAGTAAACAATAAAACACTATTATTACTGTATTTTAGAAATATTTATTTGACTTATTTATCACTAATTCTGTCATACTTTATTTTTTATTTACAATCCAATCACTAGATCGAACGAGAATTTAAAATAATAACTTAAACAAAAATATATAAGAAATAGAAGGTTTAATTATGATTTTAATTTCTTCGATCTTCTCACATTAGAAATTACCAATTAAATATTGTTTGATAATAATATGTGAATGATATATTGAATAATATTTTTAATGGAAACTTTTATTATAATTATTTAATAATGTTATTATAAAATATTTATTTTAGGCAAAAATGCATCATACGTCCATGTACTTTTGAAGGAAAAAAACAATACGGCTCTTGTACTTTTTCCACTCAATATGGCATTCTTACTCAGAAAAAAAAAACATTGTGACCCTTTGACCAACTTTTTTTGTCGTTGACCTTTACAGTGCTGATGCGGCAGTTTAAGGTGCTAACATGACAGTCTACGATGCTAACATGACAGTCTACGGTGCTGAAATGACAGTTTAGGGTGACAGATTAATGTGGTAGTTGAGATGATAGATTGACTAAATTGGTAACTCAAACATGACAGATGAACTGTCATGTCAGCACCAGGGACCATCACGTCAGCATCATGAACTGGCACCCTGGTATTGTAACAACCAACGACTAAAAACGTTGGTTAAAGGATCACATTGGGTTTGTTTTTTAATTTGGAGAGCCACATTGAGAGAAAATAATACGAGAGACAAGTTGATTTTTTTCAAAAGTACAGGGACCTCTGATGTCTTTTTGCCTTTATTAATGATAAAAATTAAATAACTATTTAGATTAAATTAAAAGTTTATAGTTTATATAAAACCTAAAATTATATTTAAAAATTGAAAATGTTAATTATTAGGGGTGTTCAAAACCGGTCGCGTACACGAAATACTGTGTACTCGATTCATTTTTTTTAAATTTTTTAAATTATATTATTTTTAATTATATATATATAATTCTAAAATTTAAAGTTATATAATATATAAATCACACATAAAATTCAAATTACATAATTGCAAAAAATAATAAAATAAAAATATAATTAAATTTCAAGTGTTTCCAAGTTAAAAAAAAAAAATTAGAATGTTATGGTAGGAAATTTAAGAAATTAGGAATTTAGAATGTGATGGTGAAATAATTTGAAAATTATGAATAAACATTTAATATAAAATAAAAATTATATATATATAATACTGAGTATTGGATCGGCGGGTACCCGGTTAAGTAACATTTGGTAACTCAAGCCCGACCCGAAAACCCAAAAAATTTAACGGGTCGAGTACCCGAGTCGAAAAATCGTGTATTTTCAAAATAAATTCCAATTCGGCTAAATCTCCGTTGAAGCATGATATGAAGGATAAAAACCATAACTGGTATGATATGCAAAATATTCGACAAAAGCAGAAGCAAAAGATGAATATATCGATGATGATTTCTTGGACTTTACAAATTTCGCCTTGAGTTGTTCCCATCTTCTGGTGTCGTTAAATATGATTTTGCATTTGCTTCACAATTTTGGAGGTAGAGAGAAATGTCAAAATCAAGGCCAACATACGTAATCTCGTACTGCATAGGGACCGATAATTGACGATAATATCATTTCTCAATGTAGACAACATGCTTCCTCGACTAATTATCTTATGCTTCCCACACATACCAATACCATGGAGCACGTGAATATCAAATATTTGCTTAGGAATATGTTGATGAGATGCAAATTGTCGCAACACTCTATCTACGACATGCATCTCGATAATCGAAAAGTGTAGCAAAGGCGTAACAGCACATAAAAACTCTGATCCTTCAAAAAAATCTCGGTGGCAATAACCGGTACATTTTAACGTTAGAATACGAAATCCAAGAAAACTGTAAACATGCATTAATTATAAAAGTTAGTATAAATAAAGTTAAAAAATTTAAATAATATAATATAATAAATAAAACTAACAGTTGAATGTTTACCGCACGTCGACTAGTTATATCGTTCCTCATTCGTATAGTTTTTTTAGTACACCTCGTAACTTGGTCTCGGTTATTTTATGTTGTCATCTAAGTAATATAAAAATTAAAAATAAAATAAATTTAAAAATGTAAAAATAAAGTAAAAAAATTACCTTACAGCTAGATGAAACTCAATCAGGTCTGGTGTAATTGGCATAAAAAAATGGGAATTGATACCATGTCCAAGACTGTAGCAAGACTAGATCACCCGCTACATCGGTTTTTTGACCCCTTTCGAAGATTGTAGCCTTGTAAAGTTTCCGGTATAAAAATGTCAAAATGACCAACCCCAACAAGTGCTACGACACACAATAAAATTATTCAATATCGGAAGATACTAAATGAGTACCAAATTCCAGGATTTATTCGGTAAAAATATCCCTCTAATCAATTGGAGAAGACATGCTTGGGCTGAAAATATAACATGTTGTTCGGTAGAGCCGTTAGTCACATTAAATTCAGACTCTAACCAAGTTATCCGTATTTGGTGCTCGTCTAAGACCTCTAGTGGTGGCATCTTTCTCAAAACTTGGTGAACAACAACGAATTGGTCAAAATCGTTGTGCCTCATTAGTGGCACATCATTAACCGAAACATTGAGTTTGTTAGCGACATCTTCAAATGTTATCGTCGCCTCACCACTCGAAAAATATAAAGTACGCGTTTCGGGGCCTCAACGTTCAATCAATATCGAAATTAGTGCTGGGTTCACCTTAAAACATGCAAAAATGTCGTTGGATATAGTCTGGACTGTTGTAGATAGATAATAATATGATGATGATGATGATCTCCTAGTGTCATTCCTCGTTGAAGAATACCTCGTTCTTCTTCCGAATTGAGTTCGAGTGAAGAAATATGGATAACATCAAGGCGTAACATTTTTTCTCAGGTAGACATTTTTTTGGGAATTTTTAATTTTTTCTTAACAAAATACAATAAAAACCCTAAACCCTATTCATATCCCAAACCAACAACTCTTTTTTTAAAATCTCACTGAACTCATCACGTCGAGTTGATAACTTACATGCTGATCATTGGAATCTGATTGTTGCAGCTACTCGTTGCCCAACTGCACTAAACGACAGGTTTTTTTTAAAACTCAAGGGAAACTCGTCACCATGACATGACAAGTTTCCCTAGTTTATTTCTTTTTCCATTTTTAAATTATTTACTGAGTTTAAAAAATTAAATATATGACCGGACTCGTCATGTCGACGTGATGAGTTCCTGTTGATATATTAAAATATTGGCTCACATGGGGCTCACTTAGCTGGGACTATTAAAAAAATTATTTCTAAGGAAACTCGTCACCTCAACGTGACGAGTTTCCCTATTACTATAACATTTGTCGTAAATTGCCAAATAAAGTTTGGAGTGGCCGGGCAAAATAATTTCGGTGTCTGCTGTATTGGGCCAAAGAAACCGATAATAAACACCAATGAATTGCCCAGGAAACAAATCAAAAGTTGGGCCTCTAAAAGTCTAAATTTCTTTTCAAGATTCCTTTCAAAATGAAGCTACAAAATAGAAATGAATAAAAATTTTAAAAAATATATATTCAATTCTGTTTATTAAATAATCTAAATAAAAAAATTATCCCATCATTTTAGAAAAATACCTACCTTATTTAAGCTTAAG